CCAAACTGGCCTCCAAGTTGTCGTGCTCCCGCCTCGGCCGCACACATAGCAGGAATCACACACATGTACCGCCACAACAGCCAGGATGGCCCTGACACAGGCTGGCGCCGCAGCTGCCCCCGGGCGCACTCCTTCGAAACGATGCCTGCCCAGCCAGCCTACCCACGGTGCCCTACGCGCTATAGGCTGTGTCCTCGGAACCAGGGGCCGCCTGGCATCTGGGCCTCTCCCTCACCACAACCTCTGGTCTTCTTAGGGGCCAGGCTGCCCGCCCCAGCTCTGCCAGCCCCTGCACTGGCCTGGCACCCAGGAGACTGGCAGGTAGGAGAGGGGACGAGGTGGAGAAACCTTCTCTAAGGAAGCTGCGGCAGGTAAGCAAGGATGTATGCTAATCGGCTAATCTGGAGAAGGGAAAGGGTATCGCTGGGCCTTTCCCCCAGAGGATCATGGATAACTTAGAGGTTTCATAATCAGGGTTGAAAACTCCAGATTGTAAAGAAAATACACAGGGCAGTCCTCCCGAAGGCCAGCATTTGGGAGAAGCCAGCTCCCCTGGTCTGTCAGCCAACAGCAGAGATACCGGGACTCAGCCCCACAGGGCTGCTCTCTACTGCCTCTGGGCCTGCCTGCTGTCCTGCTGTTTGCTAGCCCCTGCCCTCCTCTGCCTGAGGCTCCCAGAGCTCAAGCTCGCCTGCATTCGAGGTGACATTCCTTCCTGGCATGTGAGGCCCTTCCGAGGGAGGGCTCTGGCCCACTGGTGCCCTGACTGTGCCCCACTCCCTTTTCCCCACATACAGTCCCAGGGGGCTGCCTAGCGTCTGGGCCTCCCCTCGTCTTCTACGCTCCACTGTGGAGTCTGCACCCAAGTCGTTCCTCCTCCCCGCACCATCCTTCTGATACAAACACACAGTTTCTTGCCCCAACTAATCTCATCCCCTCCAACATGACCCTTGGGATGCCCCAATCTGCCTGAGCCACCTCCCACCAGACAGTCCTGTTCGGCACTCCTGGGGTTCAAGGCCGCCCCTCACCAGCTGCACCAGAACGCCCTACCTGGAGTCGCACGCGCACCTCAGCAGGCAGTACCAGCTCAAAGGCCTACGAGCTACATGCATCTCAGAGCGCCAATTCTAGAACCAACCAAGCGCTCAGCAGCCTGAATGATAGGACAGCTTTTCTTCCCTCACTACAGCAATGTGAAGCATCCAGTTATAGTGCGTCATCCGCCTGGCTCTTCTTCCCAAAGGCCAGACAACCAGAATTCCTCCTTTCCTTCCTCCTTCCTCCTTCCCTTCCTTCTTTTATACTCCTTTGCTAGCAGCGTTAAATGTTTGGGACTTGAGAATTCTGAGCCAGGCCCGGTAGCACACACCTATCCTCCCACACTCTGGGAGGCTGAAGCAGGAAGATCACAAGTTCAAGCCCAGGCTGGGCAACCTAGAGATTTAGCAAGATCCTGTCACAAAATTAAAAGGGGGGAGAAGACGAGGAGGGAGGGCTCTGGGTCCAGTCCCCCCTTTAAAAAAAAAAAAAAAAAAAAAAAAAGAGGAGGGGAAAGAGAAGAAGTTCCTCTGGGCAAGAATCTTGGTAAAAGAAATTAACTTTAAAATCCCCCCAAGCCACATATCCTTTCGAGACGGCTCACTCCACACACTTTTTCTTCTGATTCATCATGTATGATGCAGTCCAGAATCACATAGCTCCCTAGGTCAGAAAATGTGTTTGTTGAGGAGCGAATAAGAGTGGCAATGTTCTCAACACCCATCTCAGATGAGGAGTCAGTCTATGTCCTTGCTCCAAATAAAATGAGGAACCAATATTTGACCCCAGTTAAGAAGCTCTGGAATCCTTTTCCCCCATCACACAAATGTTTCCCATTTGGTCAAGTTCTGTTTCAACCATGTGTCAAGAAAAGACAAAGAAAACCCCCACTGCCATCTACTCCTGTTTGCCCAAAAGCACTATAAATTACCTCTGACATCACTCCACCTGACTGCCAGCAATGGTGGCTGCAGCCAAGGTCTGAACAGTGGCCGTGTCTCCAGAAGTCCTCGCGCTCCTCTGCCAAGGCCCAGCCTCAGCAATTCCAGAAAAGGCAGACACGTGACAGGAAGAGCGTCCCATCGAAGGACCGCGACAGTACTTTCTGAACAATCGCCACAAGCATAAAGACCAAAAGACAATTCCTCTGTGACGCTGAACAATGACGGGTGGAAGGTCTCAATACATTAAATTTCCCCAGCTGAGTAAGTCACAGCTGTGTGGGGGATGTCAGAGGTCTTAACTTCCACACTGATTCCCTGGTCACTTTTCAATTAGAAGCATTTCTAAGAAATTTAAATCAGCACACTACCGACCTCCTCAGGCGTATTTCCTAGGCGAGGGAAACTGAGGTAAGGCTGTGTACACCTAGGAGACCACACCAAGGTCAGGCCCATTCTTCATGGGACTGTGGTTCTGGGCTCATACTCCAGTGTGGAAGCCGAGAGCTGTGGGACTGGCCCCAAAGAGGAGAAACGAAACGTGAAGCACCTCAGTACCCAAAGACTGGACAACCCTGACTATCCATCTTTCCTAAGATCCTCTCTGGGGATGGGCAGAGATTACACACCAAACAAGTGTCTTTTCTGTTCCACCCAGAAAATTCACAAGCAGAAGGGACTCTGGAGCCTCCACAGCCCAGGGCGCCTCCGTCTCTGGCCAGAATTCCGTAAAAGACAAGAGGGGGAAGAGGGGCACCTGGCTCCGGGAAGCCACCCATAGCATGCAAGAGTCTTGACATTTCTCTTAGCGGACTCTGTGTGCTAGCATAGGTTCACCTTACGCAAATTCTGCACTTACTCAGCGTGTGCATATTTATTTTTCACATTAAAGTAAGTTTTTGTCTTCCATATTCCCGGGGTAAAATTAAATCCCCCAAAAGACGTCTCAGATTTATCTTGTGGCTTCAGGAATCCACACTTAGCCTCCACAGCACCCCTGCCCAGGAAGCAGCAGGGCTGGCTCTGCCCTTTTGCCTACGAAGGAGGAGCGCTGCTCACCAAATACACTATGACTTAGCCAGGAGAGCTGGGGGCAGCCCTGGGTGGAGTACCCACCTCCCGGCTCTGCTCTAAGCCCGGTTGTTGCCCTTTTGTTTCCACACGTACACAGGCACCCCGAGCTACCCCTTCACAGAGGGGTCCGAGGGCAACTTCAATCCACCCCACGTGCTGAGGTGGGTTAGGCGGTGAGTATCCTCTCCAGGGCTTGACGCTTGACTCAAGGTTTGTAAATGGGCACTTGCCTCTTTACTGGCATCCAGACTGCCAAAACCTCCTGGACTCCTCCTCCACCCGTACACTTCGCCCCAGACACACCCATCTGCAAAACTTAGAAGTACAAACTGCTCGGGGCAGACAACTCCAGAGCCAGTATCATTATCACCTAAAGCCAGAAAATGAAGACTAAAAATAGAACAAAGATCCAATCCACTGACAGGAAAACCCATCCCAAAGAGGAGGTGGCGCTAGCTCCTGCACGAGCCGCAGGAAACACCGAGCCTTCAGCTGTGCTTCACGCTCCAAAGCAAAAGGGAAGGGGCCGCTCCAATGCAAAAACTGCTCTAGGAATCCCAAGCGGCATCGCGTGGTATCCAAGGGACTGAGCAACTTTCTCCCCTCAAGGGGCACGTGGCAGAGTCGGGGGACGTTGTTGGCCCTGGCTACAAAAAGGCGGGGGAAGGGCAGTGGGCATAGGTTTGTTTGACAGGGCAACACATCATCAGGACAATCTCCAAAACAAAGAGCTACCCAGCCAAACTTTCAGCGGTGGGGAGGGGAAGAGGCCCCGAGAATGCAATGAAACAGGAAGAGGATGGGGCCAAGTTCTGAGTCCTCGTTCTGCCCCGGTGGCCTGCTTGGACTGGACACACTGCTGGACCTTACTGGGTCCTTGCTCACTGTTACTAAACAGGGGCACTGGTCCTTTTCAGAGGTCTCGCAGCCACTGAACTGGATGCAAGCTGTCACTCTGCGGCCTTCCAACATGGCAACTCTCCAGGTCTGGAGCCAGTGTCTCCCGGTGGGGGGATCTGCCCCAGCCCTCTCAAAGGCGTTCGACACTTGCACTAGGAAGAAGAATGATGCTGAAAGCAGCTTCTCCTCTGTACACTGCCATCCACCCAGAGTCCCTGGCGACCTCAGACTCCATAGAGACAAAAGGTGAACAACATGGCGTCCTAACACTGGATGCCCATCACCTAAACCTTAAGAGTTCAATCCGTCAATAAACTACGGACAGGCATGAAAACATCATTTTTGAATTATATGTTCTCCTTTACAAGAATACATAATCCAAAAAGAAAAAAACTTTGCAATAAAATTTAGAAGGCATAGTTGTAAGTACATCGACTGTACATATAAGGACTTTGCTTTTATTTTTAATACTTGGCACCCATAAATGAGTGTACCACCCCTACTTTCAGGGTGACCCAATCCTAAGCCACTGTTCCGCAGCTAGAGAAAGCACACTAGGACGTTGCCTCTGGCTGTGCCCACAACTCATCAGGACAGACAGCTGCCCTAAAAGGTTGAACCCTCCACAAGTAAGCCAGTGGTCTCTGGAAACACAGACTGCAGCAGTTGTTTCAGACATAACATTCACTTTCAGAGAAAGAAGTGTAACTCGCCTGGCTCTAAGGTTCTAAACTGCCCTGAAAGTTTATCAAGGCAATGTCTCTATAAAAGTGTGGAAGGAAGAAGCCAATGGGCCCAGCCATGTTGCCCAGGAGCCTGGTGCTGCCCGCCATGCACAAAGCCAGGGATGCCGCAGATGGCATGCTGAGACACGGAAGCCGGCTAAAAGTCAGAGAAGATGCCCAAAGGACAGAAGAGCAGGAACCAGAGAACCGTGCTAAGGCTGGGGAAGCAACACAAACTGCTGCCACTAAGAGAAAGCCGACAGGACTCAGCACATTTCAGTTGCTGCAAAAACATAAAGGCAAAACCCCGCGCACTCACCTCGAGTGTCCCAGTGCATCCATCACCTACGGAATCCAAAGGGCATTTGGAGGCACGCGGAGGACAAGCTCGGGCACCCACACGCTGTCACTTGGCAGCAGAGTTAACCTCCTGGGGCCACGGCTCCCTCTCAGCAAGTACAAATCTGAAATCATAATGAAGATGCTGAAGGGTTTAGTCATGAGCCCTCCCCTCGGCCATCAGAAGGAATGGCAAAAATGCAGAGCCAGTGCTGGAAGCCAGAACAATTTCATTTTCCTCCTAACTGTGCAAGGAATTTGCATTTAAAATGAGCATTTCATTAGCCCTTCCAAGAATGCTGGGAGCTGGCTGCTAACATTAGCAAGAATAAAAGCGGTCTTCCACGACACCAGATTTCTAATTACTGCAACACGAACGAGTACCTGGGTCCTCTGGAAGGCAGGGGAACGTGCAGGCTCATTACATCTCTCGAGTCAGGTGCCAGCTCCACTTTTAAAACATAGCCCTATCGTGTTAATGAAAGGTAACGAAGACAGAGAGACCTTCCTGGTGACAGAAGGGTCCTGCGGACTTTATCATCTCAGGCGTCTAGGAAACAGTGGTTTGGGCAAGAACTAAAGCAGAAAACAATCAAGAAAGAAAACTCTAAGATCTTTTTGTATTCCAAGACCAGAAGTTGCTTGGTGTGGGAGTGGTCAGATGGCGGGAAACCAGCCTGACACTCCAGAGCAAGCGGCAAGCTCATGGACCTGTGGATTCACCGCAGCAGTTCTCTGCATCCGGACTCAGAAGGTGAGGGAAGGAGGGAGGGAAAGAGGGAGGAAGAGCTGCAGGGGGGAACAGGAGGGTAGGGTTCACCTCCCGCCTCCTGGGCCTCTGGGGCCTGGGGGACCAGAGAGAGGGGAAGTCAGTGGGTGGTTGCAGCCTTGCTCCATTCAAGGGGTATTTTAACTTTATTAAGTACAGAAGAGCCTTTTATCTTCTTTACTCACTAATAAAATCAGAGGGTGGAAAGAAACCCCGGAAACCATCAATCGAAGTTCAGAGAAGGCTGCCAGAGCTATGGGGCTGGAGAAGCGGGGGCACCCCTTGCGCCAGGAGTGTGTAGACTCCAGTTAGTCACAGGACCCCGGTGTAGACCTGGGCATCAGAGAGGGACTCCCAGGGCTCTGCAGCTGTGTGAGTGGCTCTTTCCACATCCTCCTCCCCCATATGGCGGGGACCACTCTGTGGTCAACCGGGACGTTCATCTGAGCTAGAAAATTTCCTAACAAGGGCATGTTAATTAAAACTGAGACACAAGCAACACAAGAGGAAAAGGAATCTCCAGAGGATGTGGTCCAGCCTGCACTCTCCATGTGGTTCCCATTCCCCCCAAAGCCTCGCACCAGGCTGGCCTCCTACTCGGCAGTTCTGAAAGGGAGGCCTGAAGCTGCTGGCAAGAGCCACGCTCCACATGCCAGGCCACTTCCCGCTCCGCAGACCTCGCCTCGCCCGGGCTACAGCACTGCCTCCCTTTCCTGCAGCGTCCCCTCCAACCGAACAGACTTCTGGCTTCCTTGAGGTGTCCCTGTGCTGTGACATCCAAGTCTGGCAAACTCTCAGCCTGGAAATCTGGACCCTCAGGGTCCAGGGAAGATGAGTCACTGGCTAAAAACCAGGAACCTGATGGGGAGTGCTGGTTTCCAAAACACAGGCCCTAGCAACCTGTCCAGACAACTCCCTGGAGTGGACAGCCCACGGCTCTTTCTGAAGGCCCGGCCTGGGGCCAGCTGTGGCCCTCGCAGCACCCAGCCTCGTCCTGCAGCCTAATCCTTCACTGCAGGCTGCTGTGAAATGGTTCACTGTGAGGTTCCTTCTTCTGCTATCATTTATTTTAAAAAAAAGAAAACAGACATGGCCTTCCCTCCTGCCTCCCACAAAGAAAAGTGAAAAAACTGGGCCATTACTTCATTAGCTTGGACTCGTCTGGCCAACACTTGGACTTTCCTCTGCTGACCAGGCTCCCCTGAGCCAGCGCGGCGTCCACCAGTGTCCCACGCACGTCCTTTCCCCACCAGGCTGTGGACACTCCTCGCAGGCGCCTCACCTGGCTGGCCCGCTCTCCCCCTTCAATCCTACCTCAGGTTACCTCACGAGAGAGCCGCTCTTGGTGCTGCCCTCTCCCCTACCAGACCCGGCAGGCCTTGCCCAGGCTGGGGCAGAGCTCAGCCACAAACTGTCAGCAACTCTGTGCTCAGTAAATGGTGCGCAGGAGAAAGGCAAGCAAGTGCACCTGAACAGCGGAGGCTGCTGGCATAAGCCCGCCCATGCCGAGAAGTAGATATAGGGCTATTTGGTTATGCGTTTTCAGCTTTATTCATCCAAACTAAGTCTGAGCAGTCCCCACATGGCCACATAACCAAGAGGAGATGGGAGGGAATGAGCGAAACAATGTGGCGGTGAAAAGGACAGACCTACAGCTCACAGGACAGCGTGGGCCGATCTCACCAACAGGACCTGGAAACAGGAGGCATCAGCTCTGTGCAGTTCAAAAGTGGGCAAAACTGAGCTCTCATGGGGG